TGACATTTATTTTGAACTTTGGGGAACTTTCGCATTTTATTTTGGACTTTGAGGAACTTTGACGTTTCTTTTGAATTTGGGAAAACTCCGTGAACTGCCATGGATTTCGGTGAACTTTGGTGAATTTCAGGGAACTTCGATCGAATTCTACAAAGCGAACTTCAGTGACTTCGGCTGAACTGCGGCCAAAGTTCATGAACTTCGACTTCAGGTTTATGATTTTTGTTTTGGATTTCTTCTATACGGCTTCTTTCTTTTTATAGAAGACAGCTACAGTAAAAATTTCACCTCTCTAGCTTAAACCATTCTCGAGCTATCGTGATGACAAACACAGACAGACGCGAAACTTTTTGATCACTAATTAATAGGCTTCGCTTCCCGGGTGGAAGGATCTGTACTTCTAACTGTAATGGCGCACTGTACACGGATCACATTCACAAATGCATTTTAAGTGTGTACAAAATCAGGTCAAATTGTGTTAGGACTACATCTGTTAACGTTTATTAAAATATTGTCAGAATGTATAAAATGTACAGCTGTAGCCTGTAGTTAGACCACAGTTTAAATGCAGATTTCTATACTTTTTCTGTAGTTAAGTCGCAGTTTTACTTCAGAAAAACTATAGTTTTTTCGGAATCCGCACAGTTTAACTGCAGTTTGGGCGGTTAGTTTCGAACTGCACTCCGGACAAGAGTCGCGAAGCACAAACAAAACCTACAGTTAGTATCATACTTAAAGTGCAGTGTTCAAAACTTCGTTCAAAAATTTTTATTTCGGGAATTTCTCCTACTACCACCCTTCTACCTTCCCCCACTCACCCCTTTCATCCGATTAATTGATTGTAGAACTATTACCTTGATGAAAGTTGATGAAGTTGATGGGAGTTGAACCTCGGACCTCGGAGGTGGTAGCGCAGTACGATGACCACTGAGCCACTGCGACACCATAGCTCTGATCTCGCAGTAACTCAATGACAAGCCAAGCGCTCCGGTCCGACAACTCACAATCGAACTACAGTCGGACTACAGTCCAGCTACAGTAATGCTACATTTTATCCACCGTTTGCATAGTTCCTATGCTGTCTAAGATTTACAACCGAATAAATCGTCTCCTGCCGCTAGGTTTACATGACAAAATCAGTGTACCACACGTGCACACCAACCATAATATGCATGTATACGTACTACGCGCGTAATATCAATATCTTTGTGTAGAAGTATTTTACGACGAGCTGGGGAGGCGTCAAAAAGCATCGTGAGCACCTCCGGCAGTTTGGGAAACATGTACTCACCCTCCTGTGTAGGTAGCTAGGCCTGGTTCGGGGTATTTCCTCTCGCGATATTCGGCCCATAGTATGCTCCCGGCCAGCAGAACGGCACGTCTGCGGGGGGTGGGGCCGAGCGGGACTTTCCGGGATGTCTTTTAACTGCAAGGGTGATGAGTCGCCTCTACTGCCCGGTATGTTTACCAGTTGCAATGTTCAGCCAAAAACAGACTTTACTTTAAAACTGACAGCAGTAATTCTGCAAACAGACCGCTCAAATGTACTGTACAGACGAAAGCAGTCATTACAATTCTTTTTAACTCTAAATTTATAGCTAATGGAATGTAAAACAGACTGCATTCACCAAGTACAATTGAAAGAGCGAATCATATCGTCAATTTATCTGCTTTTAAACTACAGCAACAACTCAATATACCACTTACATTACGGTGTGCATTCTCAAGTGTAGTTGCGAGAGCAGTAAAAGTGTGTGTTATTTATATTTCTTACTGTTATTTGGGCATGTAGTCTTGATTATAAACTGCATTGGAGTTAAAATACTATCATAACTATAGTTTAGCAACTACAGTTAAGCAAGTACAGTTTCGAATGCAGTTTATCTGTACTTCTTTCCACCCGCGCGCTCAGCCTAAAACAAAACGCCTGCTGCAAATCATGGCAACCACCCCTAGGTGGGCTAAAAGGGGTTATCAAAAAGAAAAGGGGAGGCCAAAGAAGTTTAAAACTAGCTATATGTACGCCAGACCTCGTCTCGCGTAACAGGTTTCGTGATATCTCACGAAACACTGTTACGCTGCGACGCGCCTGGCGCACACATAGCTAGGCCTGCGGCGCTGACACCCAAAACGAGTGAATAGGAGTGTATACACAATTTTTTGATATAAAGCCTTTTCTACGGTTTAATGGACTGTTTGGTCATTTTCACCACATTTTTGTCCAGAGATGCCCCCTTGCACCCAAACGGTACAAGATGGGGCAAAACGGACGAAATTTTCGCCCAGAGGATTCTTTTTTTACGAGTTACCCCTTAGAAGCCCATAAAAAAATATTTGAAAAAAATAAATATTTTGCAACCTTTGGTTTTTGATTTTTTTAAAGTCAATTTTTGAGCTAGAATGCTCATCTTCGAACTCGATCTGTCTTTTGGTGTTAAAAAACGACCCTGAAATTCCCAGATCGCTATCTCAATTCGTTCTCGAGTTCTCGTGCGGACAGACAGACAAACAGAATGAAACTTTTCCGGTCAGTGGAGTAATGGGCTTCGCTAATCGCTCAGCCAAAAAATATCTTTTATGATCTCCGAAAGGGCAACTCGTGAAAGTAGATGCCTTAGGTCCGAAATTTTGTCCGTTTTGCCCTCAACAAAACGCCTACAGCAAATCTTAATTTCCACCCCTAAGGGACCGAAAGGGGGTATCAGAAAACAGACAAGGCCCAAAAAGTTTTTTAAAAAAAATATTTTTTATGATCTTTTAAGTTGTAACTCGTGAAAGTAGACCCCTTTGATCAACGTTTGGGCGCTGTAGAACCTTTTTCGACGAAAATACGCCGAAAATGATCATGGTGTACATAAAGACGTACAAGAAGGCCTTAAATCGAAAAATGACAGGGGAAATTATATCCAAAACAGCACATTCTGCGTCAGAATTATTCCTTGGGATTGCCGTTTCTCCGATCGTTCCAGAGCTAGACGGCGATATACTTTAAACATTGGCAAAAAATTTCTGACTGTTTGAAAAACAATACAAGCCGAAAATTTGTTTTGTTTTGTTATTTTTAGCCCGCCCTTCTGCTTTGAAAAAGCTATTCAGCGGGCTTATGCAAACGACCTCGTGTGTGTCTGT